CACATCAAGCACCCGGAATAAAATCGCTTGGGAATCGTGGTAAGAAGTTATAGCGAGTTGTACAAATACAGAAACTGTTAGAAAGAATGGCAAAGCAATACGTCTCATAGTCATTGTGTATTTGACTACGTTAGGGTGCTGTACATTTTCTTCGGGTTTATTACGAATCACATTGTGATTAGGTCGGCTCAACAAATCAAATTACTCGAACAGCGCCTAATTTGAATATACATTTCCTATTGTTGATGTGACGAAAATACACCTCCTGTGTACATGTATATGAATGAAGTGACAAAAGGTTACTGGATACGCATGCCTGACGAGCGGCAAGAACCGATAAACCGTTCATCTGCTTCCGGCGGAATTTCGTCTAGTCATTAATATAGTACTTATTATGAAATGTATATATATAATCTATAATGTATGTATATATATACATACATATAGGTATATATAATCAGAAATGTGTACATTATCAGATAATTATTTTGGGGATCAAAATGTTTGAGAATAATTGGCTTTAAAATTTAATGATATAGTGTGAATGCTTTTGCTGTTGAAAACGTTGGGACTAATTGTTTGAATGATATATTTAGATACCATATTTGATCGAATCGCAACTTGTGTCATCAATAGGGTAATGTTAAGAGAATAATGTGCTCATTGAGCGGACGACGGATTGGCACAGTGTTGCAAAACCAGTCTTTTTCACATAGATTCTGGTGTTTTCATAAACCGGGTAGATGAAGAACTTGTTTTAATACACAGGGTGATCACTTTAGCTGTTTGCTAGTAGCGGGTGTCAAAGTTTCATTCGTTCAACCAACAGTGGCCAAGTGGTGTGCCATCAAACTAAATTGAAGTTAGTGCTCAAATTCCACCGACGGTAATCCATGTTCTTGCCTTGTCATGTCATCAAATGACATTGGGAACTTCTGTAGCCTTTCTGTCATAGAAGAAATCGGCCTTTAATAAGGTCTCCAAATATAACGTAATTTTTCTTGGACCCATAATCATCCTATTATCAAGTTATTGCCAAAATTTCCATGGTCGAAAGTTAAGCATAATTTCACATTTAGGCTGTTTATTTTTCTCCAGTAACTGACAAATCGGTTCCTGTGCCTCGAATTGAGCAGGTCACGTCCGGCTTGTTTCCCGGATCCAAGTAACTTCCCTGCTCCATCATCGTCCTCCGAGCCATTACCATCATCATCACTGCGATTGAAGTCAGTTTCCCGAACTCGGCTGGGAGCTTTCCAGTTTTGTCGATCTGTTCTATTCCGTCCAAGGTCATTATCGCTTGAATGTTATTCCTAATGTTTGCAAAGCTGAACCGATTGATTTGGCACCAATCCTCACACGTTAAACCACCTCTGA